GCCAGCCGGGTCCCAGAGCAGGAAAATTCACCTGGCACAGCCCCTTTCCTCCCTGTGTGGTGGGCCAGGGTGGGTGTGATGCAGCAGTGTGAGCCTGGGGACCTCCCATCACCCTCTGCAGCCCACCAGACCTCTGCCAGCCCAGCTCCCCGGGCACGGGGGACATTCCATAGTGACCATTCCTCTGTTCTCCCCGGCAGCACAGCGACTCGGATTCAGAGCCAGAGTTTTCCTCCCTCTCACCCTCCATCCCAAGCGCCATCCCTGTGACCGGAGAGTCCTACTGCAACTGTGAGAACCAGAGTGAAGCACCCTACTGCTCCAGCCTGCACGCCCTCCACCGCGTCAAGGACTGCCAGTGCGGCGAGGAGGACGACTGTAAGGATGGGGCTCCCCAGGGGCCCGCTCTGCTGCTTTGGGGTTGGAGGTGGGAGCAGTCCTGGCCTGGCAGCACGGACTGTTCCCCTGCAGGGATCCTGATCTCTGTCCCAGCATGTGGTGCTCCTTTGTTTACATCTCACGGGCCATGTAGATGGTAGAAGATTTACAAGCAGGTGCCTCCTGGGGTGTTTCAAGGGCTTAAGTGCTGAACTTGTTAACGTGTCAGCGTTCACCTCTGGGGACCTGCTTTCATATCCAGCTGAGGCTACCAGTGAAACCAGCCCTTGTGATAACAGCCCTGTTGCTGCTGTACAGGTTCCAGGTTACACCCTGTTCCTTGGTAGGGGTGGCAGGGTGCCTGGCTGTGCCGCAGGGCGTGCTCAGAGCAGAGGGGAGAGGTGGGCAGAGGGTGGCTTGGGCTGGACTAGAAAGCCTGTGGCATAGCAGAGCTGCCCCTTGAGCCTACAAGAAGCGTAGGAAGGAAGGAGGCTCTGCTGGGTCTGTGGAGCCATGTGTTGGCCAAAATGGGAAGTGAAGAATGCTGCCAGCTTTGGGTTCAGAGCGCTGAACCATCCCTGGTGGGACCCTGCAGAATAGCTCAGGGTCAAACAGCTCTGTGATGTGCACAGCTGAGGATTTACCCTCTGAAACAGTCAAAAACCCCACAATAAACTCCCTTCCAGGCCTTCAGAAGAAATGTCCACCTGTGCTTGGTCTTGGCTGTGGCTCCCCCAGGGCCTTTGCCCATCCCTGTCCCCTCTGTGCTTCCTCAACAGATTTTGACTGGGTGTGGGACGACCTGAACAAGTCGACAGCCACTTTGCTGAGCTGTGACAACCGCAAGGTGAACTTCCACATGGAGTACAGCTGTGGCACGGCCGCCATCCGCGGGAACAAGGAGCTGGCAGACGGGCAGCACTTCTGGGAGATCAAGATGACCTCCCCAGTCTACGGCACAGACATGGTACGTGGGGCAGAGGGGTGGGCAAGAGTGTCCAGTGTGCTTGGAACAGGGACTGGGAGAATGAAATACCACCCACCACAGGAGAAGGTCAGGTTCAAGGCCATCTAAGGAACCTGACTGTGCACATGAGAGGCATCTGAACAGGTTGGCCAGAGAAGCTGTGGCTGCTCCTCCCTGGAAGTGTTCAAGGCCAGGTTGGATGAGGCTTTGAGCAACCTGGTCTAGTGGAAGGTGTCCCTGCTGCTGGCAGGGGGGTTGGGACTGGATGAGCTTTAAGGTCCCTTCCAACCCAAACCAGTCTGGGATTCTATGATCTGAGGGTTCTGGGGGAACTGGCAGATGAAGTTGCTAAGCCACCATCCATCATATTTGAAAAGTCATGGCAGTCTGGTGGAGTTCCCAGTGACTGAAAAAGGGGAAACACTTTTAAAAAGGGAAATAAGGAAGATCCAGGGAACTACAGGCTGGTCAGTCTCACTTCTGTGCCTGGCAAAAACATGGAGCAGATTCTCCTGGAAATTAGCTCAGGCATGTGGAGAACAGAGAGGTGATTGGTGACAGCCAGTGTGGCTTCCCTAAGAGCCTGACAAATCTGGTGACCTTCTGTGACGGGGTTATAGCATTGGTGGGTAAGGGAAGAGCGACTGACGTCATCTACCTGGGCTTGTGTGATACTGTCCCACTCAACATCCTTGTCTCTAAAATGGAGAGACATGGATTTGATGGATGGACCACTCAGTGGATAAGGAATGGGCTGGATGGTCGCACTCAAAGAGTTGAGGTCAACGGCTCCATGTCCAAGTGGAGACCAGTGAGGAGTGGGGTCCCTCGGGGGTCTGCACTGGGACTGGTATTTAACATCTCTGTTGGGGACATGGATGGGGTTGAGTTTGTGGATGACACCAAGCTGCGTGGTGTGGTTGATACTTTAGAGGGATGGGACACCATCCAGAGAGACCTCAACAGGCTTGAGAGGTGGGTCTGTGTGAACCTTGTGAAGTTCAACAAGGTCAAGTACAAGGTCCTGCACCTGGGCGGGGAGATCCCAAACATGGATACAGCCTGGGGGATGAGTGGATTGAGAGCAGCCCTGCTGAGAAGGACTTGGAGCTACAGCCTGTGGGTGTTCTGGGCTGTGCCAAGGAAAGGAGGGGAGAGCCAGAGGTGGAATCTCGTTTGTGTTTTGTTGCTTGAAGAGCTGCTGAGTTTGTGTTCTTCTTCCTGGCCTTGCTTCCCAGATGGTGGGAATTGGGACGTCGGATGTGAACCTGGACAAGTACCGGCACACCTTCTGCAGCCTGTTGGGCAAGGATGAAGACAGCTGGGGACTGTCCTACACAGGTGACACAGGCAGGGTGGTGGCAGAGGGCAGGGTGGCTGGAAGGGCAGCAGCGGGCACAAGTGTTTTCTTAGGGGGTTTGGAATTCAGGAGTCTGAAGGGGATTGAGTGCAGAAAGGCCACCAGGCCCGTGAGTCCCTTCATTGAGGACAACCAGAGCAGCAGCTTGCAGCTCTTGGAGCATCTCACCTTGCCTGCAGAGCCCTCAGAACCGGTCTGTGAATCCCCAGGGTGCCAGGACTGCTGGTGGCACGTCAGTGGTTGGGGGTTTCAGTGCCTGTGCTCTGGTGTTGCACAACCTCAACCTTCCCCTTTCCATCGGCCGCGCCGGGGCGGGCAGGGCAGGCGGTGGTCAGGCCTGGAGGGGATTTCTGGGCACTGAGCAAGGCTGTACCAGTGGGAACTACTTCCCCCTCTACTCTGCCCTGGTGAGG